TTTTTGCCCTGATCTTGGGAGACGCAACCAGGGATCAACCAAGCGTACTCTTGTTCTTTGAAAACTCGCTCTTTAACTTATATAATCCATTGTATTTGTCCATTGAACAGTGCTTTTGCACTTGTAGAGAAGCAATGAGATACGGATCATCTCCAAGGTGTTGTTCATGCTTTTGCTTGGAGCTGCAGCTGGCCACAATTCCAGAAGCGGGCAGGCCACAAATGAAGTGGACTCAAGCAGTTTGTTTTGCTTCTACATTCATTCATTTTCGAGGCACTCAGAACTTTGGTAAGCATTGCACAGACGCAACTATGCAATTGTGCCTCGGAAGGATGGTTCGGTGCTAAGTGACACAGAAGCCACAGACCAGTTTGAAGGGTTTTTTGTTTCTATTCTATCGTTTGAAGGATGAGGTAACATGTGGGCTTCATGGTGTAACAGACATATTGGTCAGGTGGAGGCTTCAGCGCTTATCTGTTGCCATTCTGCAATGGGTGTGTGGGACCTACTGCTGAGACCACCATAGAGTCGTGTGGCTATACTATAGAGCTGCGGAAGACAGTTGAAAGCTGCTGTTCTAAGGGTCTTCCCCGCCTACGTGGGGCACTTGGTCCTGTGCTTTCTTTGTGGTCCCGTGCCCTAGATTTTTTGTTGCATAGTGGGCCTATCCCAGTTGCCTCAGCGGATACGATTAGCAGGTGTCGGATCAAAAGATGCAATAAAGAGGTACTTCACCTTTCGCAGCATGACAGAGCCTCCATCATGAACGCCAACCCCCTCATCTCACTTGTTCACGCCTCAGCAATGCGGAATGACGAGGCACTCCTTGCCACTTGCACAGTTGCAGGTCATGCAACTCTTCATTGGCTATGTGCACTTGTGGGGCTTTGCCTTCATGGAAGGGTGCATTGCAAGTGCATCTTGGATTTGTGAATTTGTCCATCGCTATTAGGTTGGAGGCCATCGCTATTGGGTTAAGTTTCCCTAAAATCTACTTCAAGGAAGCTCCCTCCGGCCCTCAGGGCTTTCTTTCAGAGTCCAAGCTTCAGCTCAGTAGCTATGCAGCTATGTGCTGTAATTCGCCGATAAGGTTCTGCTACCTGAAGCAATTCGGTGCTCTGCTTAGAATAGGTTGCATGCTGCGGGAAGCAGAGGGTCCAAGTCTAAGGCGTGCATCAGTCAACTTCTTCGTGGGAGCTATCAATTGCCATAGGCCTCCCAACTCGCTGCTTTGTTTGTTGGTTACCCACACTCATCAGATTTATGATCAGTAAGAACAGCCATATAGCATACAGCACAGAGTACTGTACTTTGACAATCCATGAGAAGCTTGAGAGGTGAAGGGCCATATAGTGCAAAGTCAAGCAAGCTCACATCATCAAAATGTACAAATGTGCAAGCCAAGACAATGTATACAAGGGTGTACCTTCCGGACCTATAGTCTGCTCAGTATACAGTATATAGTATACGGACTCAGGGTACTGCGTAACATTCCATATCATATATAATATATGTTTGCACACGAATCTCACATGGGGTATTGGCCTTCATGATTTGGTGAGGCGACTCTTCGGCACCATGAGCGAGGAGGGAGGCGTGAGCACGTTGTGAAGAAAGTTGTTGCATTTGCAACTCATAGTAAGTTAGCAAGCACCTTATTTTCTTACCCGTTCTTAGATTTGTCTTGCTTTCCTTTTCTTCTAGAGCTTAATTCTTCTATCCTTTTTCCCTTTTCTTACATACTTTAATGAGAAGAGCGTTTGTACTTTGTGTTTCTGTTTCTCAGGGGCCAACGACTCTTTGCTTTTCCCTCAGTTTGTCGTCTAGTCACTTTCGATAAGAAAAAATGAAATTCTGAGGCCAATGCCACCACATTGGGCTACTCTGAAGTTGGGTCTTGTGCACGTTAGAGTCTTGGGGCAAAGTTTTACCAAAATGGAACTGAAAAGTCCTTTTGTGCGCTTCAGGTTGCTTTGCATACTCCAATGGTTTTCACTATGTGGTACATGCCGGCATATCTGCTGGACAGGCAGGTCTTGGAGCAGCTTTAGCTTTGTTCCTGCTTTGCTCTCGTGTCTTTTTCGGTGGAGGCTTTTCGGCGACGCTCTCTTTCCAATTCTGTTGGAACATGCAGGTGCACTCTAGACTCTAGACCGAAAGTCATAATTCAGGACAGCAATTTGCAATTTACATCATGATTCTCCGAATGGAATCGAACTCCTTCAGTATGCCTTTTTTGCCTGATACAGAACTGAGCGTGGCAGGTGATGCACTTGAAGGCTTGCACAGAAGAGATCCAGTTTTCCTTAGCACCAGCACAAGCCTTGTGCCAAGTGCGATTACTGAAACTGAAGGCATTGAAAACATACTTTGAACATTTTCCACTTTTTGCTGACTCAGCAAGAGGGCTTTTACCCAGGTCACATGTCGCGAACCAGCCAAGCAGCGCCAGGCCAGGTCTTGCATCCTGTCCGAGTGTATTGGACATTGTGTGCTCGAGGCAAAGTGTCTGCTGGAGAAGGGCAGTCCTTGTTCGTCCTTGAGCTGTTGCAGCTTTACGTACTGGTTGCTTGCATAGCTCTACGAGATTCACAAGCTCATTTGCTAATGTGGGGCGCATACAATTCACATCCAAGGTTCTGCAGTGTATTCGCATATTAGAGACTTCTCCTGTGATGACGAAGCTCATTTCAGCTCTGTCCTGCACTCAGCGCAGATTTGTAGTGAGTATAGCCTATATTATTGCTTTTATATTTTCATTTGATCTGCAAGCCTACGTTTCATGCACGTAACCGATATGGCACATGTAAGGTTGCGATGTGGACTGCGGTTTGTTGGCCTGGGACACTTCTTGGCGAGCGTCTAAGAGCTTAAAGAGCTTTGCAGGTTGATCCAACAGATTGCGTCATCTGAACATATCCGCTTCCATGCAAGGTTGGGGAGCCTGCTGCAGCTTCGTCAAATGAGCCTTCGACTGACCCTGATTTTTCCAGAGCTGAGTGCTCGTCCAAGGTGGACTGGCAGATTTGGAACAAGGTTTAAGTTCTATTTGTGTCCTTTGCTGTGTTTGGGATAGCTAGAGTTCGTACGGTTCAATCAGTTTATAACTGTCGTACAGAACATACACTTGCTCCAGAAAGCCCCAGTCAGCGTTCCCGGCTTTGTGATTTTTCCTGTGAAGGAGAAGCGCCCATGGGTGTATTGGGCGACATGGGGCAAAGCACTGGGAGCGTGGAGGCCTAGCTGAAGAGGTGATGGGACTTGGATCAGTACTTCGCTTGCAATCGTAATCAACCAGGGTATTGTCCACGAGGTGGCGGGGATACTGGTCTTGTGCTGCTGGTCTGTCATGGTGTCAACCTTAGCTTATCGGATCGGTGCAGCTGAGTCACCGTGTTCATGGAGTTTCTCGTTGTGCCAGTAAGTCAGGCCCTCGTCATGGCTCTCCCATTGGCTCTTGGAAGGCGAGTGACGTGTTATGTTTTTTTCAAAGATATTTTTATATAGGGGTCTTCAGCCATAGTATGCCTTAGTAAAGACTTTGGAGCAGATCGTATTAGATTCCGGAGGAGGGTCCGGACCGGAGCCGGTTCTGCAGGAGGTTCAATTTTGCAGATATGCTGGCATGGTGTGATGCTGACATTGTCAGGTCATATGTAATGCTGACATGTCATCATGCTGGCTTGTTGTCGTGCCGACATGTTGTCATGCCGTCAGGCACCATGCTTGTATGGTGTGCACTGTCACATCGACATTATAACATGTCGTCACTCTGTCATGCCGTGCAAGCATGTTGTCTTGATCGACAGCAAGGCCTGGCACAAGGCAGATTTGCCCAAAGCCAAGGTACACAAAGTGGACACTTTGCGGGGTAAAGACCCATGGATGTGAAGGGACAAAGCGCCGGTGGGTGGGGTGTCTCATTTCTTTGCGACCCTCACAGCCAAGCCCCTCTTGCATGGCTGGTTGGTGCAGGTCGCTGTTTTCCCCTCACCAGGGCTGCGAGAGAAAAAGCAGGTTGCTGCTGCGCAGGAAGCTTCGGCCTGTAATGCAGTTCTCCTCTAGAGATCGGGTAGCTTACAGTGCTTCGGTCTTCGTGGCACTTGCTAGGCAAATCACGGCACCGTTGCAGTTGCCGGGTGTTATGGCTGTGTGCTCTTTGGAACTTGGATGCTGGTGCCGTTGCAGGCTGCAGGGCATTGCTGCCAGATGTGTGTAACCTGGATGCTGGTGTGGCTGTATGGTGCCGCTGCAGGTGTTGCTGCCAGATGTTTATAGCGTGTTGGGGTTTGGGTGCTGGTGCCGCTGCAGGGTGCCGCTGCTACATGTATGTGGCAGTGTGCCCTTTGCAGCCTGCGTGCTGTTAATATCTTTTGCATTCTTTTGCCATCTGAGGTCTATGCTGGCGTAATCTTTTTAGTCAAGCCTCGTTAGCTTTGAGAGAGTCGAATACTACTCATACTCATGACTCGGGAGACAACAATGCTGTGGGCATTTGCATCACCAACATTAGGGGATAAACCATGTGAGCAATGCAAGTGTGGTATGCAGCAGCTTCCACAATGGCCAGGATCATACAAAGGGTGAACGAACGTTGGGAACATCCAAAGCTCTGTATGTCCCATGGCATTGCCCATACTGATACTGTTTGTGTTTCTTTGACAGCTAGAAGTTGAGAGGTTTCCACGCGAGAGAGCATGTTTTAATTTGCTGTTAACAATTTTTTCTTGATGCTTTGCAACCATGCCATTGCAATAATATATGTACTACAATGCTAGTCCAGCGTGTTTTGTGACAGAAAGGCAACTTACCGTCCCTTCCATGCTTGTAGTCCTACCCTCCAAAGACATTGACATGTGCCTTGGAATTGTTGCAGCTGTGACGATGCGCCATGTGCTCGAGGCTTATCGTACGTTGCATTTTATCTTCCCAGGCACCAACCCACAGACTCAGACATTGCTGATTGGTCTTGTTGTGACTTCAAACCAACCAGATGTTCACTTAAGACAACGCTCAAGGCCAAACCAATCTCTGACTTTCTTCCCCTCAGCAACACTCTCAGAGCCAGTTCATTCAGCGTGACTTTCGCTTCAGCTTCGCCTGTCACAAGGCATGGGTGTGGTGGTTGCATCAGCATGGGTCCTCGTGATGGTGAAGCTTGGAGAGGTCTCAAGCTTCTTCAATGTTTGATTGCAAGACAAGTCATGGAATCGCTGTTTGCATTCTCAGTCATGGCAGGAAAGTGCTCTCAGATAACATGTATATAGTTACATGTAGTTACAGAGGTGCTTCCCTCAATGAGTTGATAGGCGCTTCCCAGGATTCTGGAACAGGCATCTGCACTAAGACGGCGCAGGCACGAGTTCACAGCTGGTTTTGCGACTTTGTTCAAACTGCTGAGCCCGATGGAGCCGATGGAGCCCAATTGGGCGAAGCTGAGAGAAGCTTGAGGTTCTTGCACATTCTCACCTGTGGTTTGTCTGCTTTTGGCTTGGTCCTTGCTGTGCTGGTGCCCCAGTCTGTTGAGCATTGGACTTTGGAACACGGTTTCAGCATTTTGACAGCAAGTGCAGCTCTGGAATTTCCGCAGCGTTTGCGCCAAGCCTTTGAGACAAGTACGCGTGAACTCACTTGCGGCATTTAGTTTATCTAAAACTAGGTAGCAGAAAAGACCATGCACGCTGCTTTTGAGAGAGAGGCTAGGAGCTCGGAAGGTTCGACTTGCATAGACTGCAAAATCAAACTTCCTAGACCAAGCGCAGCAATATAGTGATGTCCCAGTGGCCATGCTGGCTGGACATGCATGTGCCGGAATACGTTGACACCTTAGATGACATACGCACAAATTGCAGGTGTGGCACTTCTGTGTTCAGTAGCGTGACAATCCATTGTTTGTTTGGGGACGATGCTAGTCTTTGAGACACTCCTAGGCCTTGCACAGGTGAACGCACCTGGTTGCCAGCGCATTCGTACCTTTTTCTTCCGGAAGTCACAGGCCGAACATTGAAAATAATGAAACAATCAGGCCTTCGCCACAATTTGAAGAAGCATTGCAAAGTTGCATCTGAAGATTGTTGTATTTGCACACGATGTTCCACCTAGGGACAACTTCTTGGCATCAAGAGCCTGGACAGCGCGGAAGACTTCCCTGTACTGGCTGCTGATGCTGTCCGAGACAGTCGGAAGGAGTTGGCTGGTTTGAAGGACGTAAGCCCAAGCAAACTGGTTGCACTGGTGGATGGGGTCTCCAACCATCTTTGCCAAATCGCAGATGCAGCGGAACTGGTGCGGAATGTCCATCCACAACAAAGCTACGTCTCCAATGCTTCTGCGGCGGTGCAAGAGATTGCAGGGTTTATGAGTGAGGTGAACCTTGACATTGGCGTTTACGAGCCCATGAAAAAGGCTGAAGCTTCACATGAATTTCAAGAGATGTCACTTGAAGCACGGACAGTTTTGCATCACATGCGAGTCTCTATGGAGCATGAGGGCATCCACTTGCCAGCGGCTGAGAAAGAGGAATGCATACAGCTCTTGGATTCAGAGCAGCAGCTCTCTTTTGACATCCTCAACCGACAAGAGCAGCTGCGACATCAAGCTTCTGAAGAAGGCGCTTGGGTTCCGCTCGCGAGCTTGGGAGATTTCAGAGGCCAAGTTGGTGGATTGCCACATCGACAGGATGAAGTGCTCATCCCACGGGACTCAGTGCTGGCGGATCACATTCTGAAGTCTCCAGACCAGGACGCACGACGGAGAGTCTACGAAGCACAGCAAGGACGGGACAAAATTGGGGAAGAACACATGGTTTCTTTGTTGGCCACGCGTCAAAGACTAGCAAAGATCCGTGGATATGAAAGCTGGGCTCACTACGCGCAGCGTGATGCGCTCTTCTCCAGCCCACAGCGTGTCCAGAACTTCCTTGATTCTGCTTGGCAACAGTTGAGGCCTGGCTTTGTAGCTGAGCTTCATCTCCTGTCCAAGGAGAAGAAGTCCTTAAGCAACGAAACGCACCTCCAACCTTGGGACGTTCCGTACTTGCTACATCTATGCAAGCAGAAGCACAAAGAGGCTGATGAAATTTCAGAGTACCTGACATATGCTTCACTAATGAAAGGCGTCGAACTCATACTTTCACGTCTACTTGGCCTTCAGTTCACTCAAGAGGAACCTGAAGCTGGTGAACTTTGGCATCCTTCAGTGCAAAAGTATGCGATACGGGATCAAGATGAAATCCTTGGTATTTTGTACTTAGATCCATTCCAACGCGCTGGCAAAAGAGTCCAATCAGCACAATTTACCCTCCAGGGGTCAAAATTACTGGATGATGGAGGGCGTCAAACTCCCAAGACCTGCTTGGTCTATGCATTGCCACCCGCAGCACGTGGTTTGACAGCAGGCTTTGCAGCCACCTTTATGCATGAGATTGGACATGCAGTGCATTCGTTGCTATCGGAGACGCAGTTTCAGCATCTCTCTGGCACACGTGGAACCATCGACTTTGTTGAGTCCTGGATCGCAGCCAACACATGTCAACAGGCTGTTTGTCATCTTTTAGAGGGTTGGAGAGGTAACTAGTATCGCAAGCAAGCTGCCAGGGCTCAGGCTTCTTCAAGCAAGCTCCCGCCCGCCCTCCATGATTGTTTTCTTTTGCATACTTTCATTTGCACAGGTAGGTTGTGTGGCTGTTTTATTTGCTTGGTGACTCAGGAGTTTCCGTCTCATTTGTTCGAACACTTCGTTTTGGATCCGGAGTGCCTCGCACTATATGCTTCACATACTGGAACAGGCCTGGACAAACGAAGCCAGCTAAGAGTCTAGAGCTCCCAGCAAGCCGGACATAGCCGGACTGCACATCATTTTTCCACATGTTTCAAGCAACATGCACTTTACACACAATCAAGCAAACAAAGTGCTGCATCAGCCAAGTGGTGCGCTTGTTCAGTGGCAGTCAAGTTTAGTTTAATAATATTCTGTTAACTAAATGTTGAGTATTCCTACTGTTGAGGCAGCCAAGCTGCTATCCAGCCAATTTGAAGGTAGTTAGAAAGAAGGTGTCAGTCTTGGTTCCCTTCCTTCCCAATTCCATGCATACATTGGCACGAGCAATTTCAAGACATTTGTCAGTTTTCTTTGCGCTTTTAGATGCCGCTCTCCTGACGCACACTCAATGGCATCATGATAAGTTTGTTGCTCCAATTTCTTCGTGATAAACTTTTCTGGAAGCTCGGCATTTCAGCTAGACTTTTGACAAATTCCTGCCGCATGAGCTGGATTGACCCATGGTTGTATCATGTTGTATTTTTCAAGTGTAACCTTACAACTTGTTGATGGTTGTGGATTCAGTAGTAGTTTACAATTGGCAGGTCGAGAGCTGCCGCAGCACTTGCGACAAGCCCATCGCCGGAGGCCCTTCAGTCACTTCGAAGCTGTGCAGCAGCTGATGTATGCATCTGCGCAGCACTGGGGCACTGGACAAAAAGACACCGAATCAACAGAGAACAAAGGCCGCCAAGACAAAGTATGTCACTATGTCAGCAGGAAAGGAGTAATTTGCAACTCGTTCTGTCTCCTTCTCTCCCCGTCCCTCCCTCCCTCCCTCTCTCCCTCCCTCCCTCCCTCCCTCCCTTCCTTCTTCGCTCGCTCGCTCGCTCGCTCGCTCTCGCTCGCTCGCTCTCTCTCTCTCTCTCTCTCTTTCTCTCTTTCTCTCTTTCTCTTTCTCTTTCTCTTTGTCTTTCTTTCTTTCTGTCTGTCTGTCTGTCTTTCTTTCTTTCTTTCTCACTTTTTATCACTTTTTCTGACTTTTTCCCGAAAGCATTGCGAAGGGTTCTTCTGGAAAATCTCTTGACACTTCCACACTTGCACTTGAACAGTGACATTGCGAGAAGTAGACTTGAACGCTGAACATGAACAAACATGAACATGAACACTTACACTTCTATACGTGCCCCAGTGTAAGCATCCAACGGCAAGTATCCTAGTGAAAGGATGCAAGTAGCATGCAACGGCAAGTATACATGAGTATGCAATGAGTATGCATGTATTGGAAAAAACTTGCACGGGAGATGTCCTAATGAAGAACATTTCCCCACTTTATAAATTCTCTCTTAAAGGCGGAGGGTGGGACGAACAGCGTCAACCAAAAATGCAACCCTCTGCGGAGATCGTGCGTGTCGAGTGCGCGAAATGCAGGCGAGAGTGCGATTGGGTCTGTGCACGCCCAACCCTCTGCGGAGATCGTGCGTGTCGAGTGTGCGAAATGCAGGCGAGAGTGCGATTGGGTCTGTTCGCGCGCAACCCTCTGCGGAGATCGTGTGTGTCGAGTGCGCGAAATGCAGGCGAGAGTGTGATTGGGTCTGTTCGCGCGCAACCCTCTGCGGAGATCGTGCGTGTCGAGTGCGCGAAATGCAGGCGAGAGTGCGACTGGGTCTCTGCGCGCGCAACCCTCTGCGGAGATCGTGCGTGTCGAGTGCGCGAAATGCAGGCGAGAGTGCGATTGGGGCTGTGCGCGCGCAACCTGCTGCGGAGATCAGGCGTGTCGAGTGCTATACGCACCCCAGTGTAAGCATCCAACGGCAAGTATCCCAGTGAAAGGATGCAAGTAGCATCCAACGGCAAGTATACATGAGTATGCAATGAGTATGCGTGTATTGGAAAAATACTTGCACGGGAGATGTCCTAACGAAAAACATTTCCCCACCTTATAAATTCTCTCTTAAAGGCGGAGGGTGGGGCGAACAGCGTCAACCGAAAATGCAACCCTCTGCGGAGATCGTGCATGTCGAGGTGTCGAGTGCGCGAAATGCAGGCGAGAGTGCGATTGGGTCTGTGCGCGCGCAACCCTCTGCGGAGATCGTGCGTGTCGAGTGCGCGAAACGCAGGCGAGAGTGCCATTGGGTCTGTGCACGCGCACCCTCTGCGGAGATCGTGCGTGTCGAGTGTGCGAAATGCAGGCGAGAGTGCGACTGGGTCTGCACGCGCGCGCAACCCTCTGCGGAGATCGTTCGCGTCGAGCGCGCGCGACGCAGGCGAGAGTGCGATTGGGTCTGTGCGCGCGCAACCCTCTGCGGAGATCGTGCGTGTGGAGTGCGCGAAATGCTGGCGAGAGTGCGATTGGGTCTGTGCGCGCGCAACCCTCTGCGGAGATCGTGCGTGTGGAGCGTGCGAAACCCTGAGCATCGGCTATTGATTTAAATCAATAAGGTCAAATCTCTATTGATATTCATTTTTTCAATAGAACATATTTGATTTTGATCGTATTAAAATCAAAGAACATGGGGTCAATTAAATCAATAAAATCAGACCCTGGTTTGGCATGCCAAATCAAAAGGAAATCAATAGGAAGTGGCAACTGCGCAGCCTTTTTTCTGAGTGGAAACAAAGCTGCTTTCCTGTCCCTTTCAGCAAGGGACAGGAGTACTACACCTTTAAAAGGTAGGTGTCGCCCAAAGGTGTTCTCTTCCACCCCTTTTTTTCTGATTGGAAACAAAGCTGCTTTCCTGTCCCTTTCAGCAAGGGACAGGAATACAACACTTTTTAAAAGGTAGGTGTCACCCTTTTATCAAGGGTCAGAGGTGTTCTCTTCCACCTTCCCAAAGCCAGGATGACTCAGCTGCATGTGCATCAAGACTCTGTGCTTTGCACCCATCTTGACACTTAACTTGGATGTCTTCACACCAAAAGAAATTGAATGGGCTAGGACACTCAGCTGGCCCACAAAATGCTCAGCTCGATAATTGTGGTGAATCCTGTAATTGAGATATTGACTGTTGTGGATGAGATGCATGTAGCTGTGAAATTTGTGGGTGATGTGGAAAATCTTCCTGCCTTTTAGCAAGGCCCACTGGTGGAGGTCAGCATAAGTGGAGAAAAAACCTTTTAGCAAGGTTGCAAGCCTCCCCAAACTCTGAAGAAGTTGGAAAGATCCCAATGGAATCATAGTGAGCATCAATCTTGACCATTGCCTCCAGGCAACTGATCATAGTTTGGTGAATAGGCTCTTCATCATCTAAAGCCTCCCTGACAACCTGGAGGAGTGGAGGTAGGAAATGCTTTGTCTCTCCAGCCTTGGACAATCGCAAGTTGGTCAGCCTTGAGGTAACCCCATGTTCTTTATAAAGCTCCTTGATTCTGGCAAATATTCTTTGGAGCCTTTGTGCTGGTGCAGTTCTTTGTCTTGCTCCAACTCCATCGAAAAAGCGCAGGTAGTGCAAGAGAGATCCTGCAAGGTGGGATGCAACCCCCCCTTGAATGTACAATGTGAAGTGAGTCTCCCCTCACCAGTGCAGTGCTGATCCCCTGCGCATCAAAAAGGGGATGCAAACCACTCCTTTTATCAAGGAGGGCTTGCTCAGGAGTGACATAGACAAAGTCTTGATGCTCTTCTTTCAGCTCCTTCACTGATTTGCCTTCAGGGCATTTGATGCCTTTGAAAGTTGGTCTTTGTGCATCGCATTCAGCACATGGATACTTGTTCTGCCAGTGAGGCATCCCCAGGCTGTTGCTACAAAACTCCAAGTCCCCTTGGATAGCAAATATGAATGCTCTGTGGTGTGCAGCTGTTAAAGGCTGGCCAGCCAATTCTTCCAAATGCTGTGGCAATGCAGATCCATAAGGGTCCTGGGATGGACGCTTGCCTTTTATCAAGGCATCAAAGCTCCAAGAGACCCAATCATTGAGTGGAGTCCAAGTTGAACCAACAGTGACTGATTTTGCAAAGGCTGTCAAAAGAATATGCTGATGCAGTGCTGATGCTTTGCTCAACATTGACCCCCATGACCAAGTCATCAAGCTATCCCTGCTCTGGAATTCAACTCCATCCCCATGCACATAGATGGGGCATGTGAATGCAGGTTGCACCACCCTTTTACCAAGGGCTAGAGGAGGAAGGAGCCTGGGGTCCTTGGACTTTTCAACCCCTTTCCAGAAGGCTTGAGCTTCTTTGAAGCAAAACAGCTTCTCAAATTGTTCTGGATAGTCGGTGTAGAGGGAGCTGAAGACCAGGTGTGGAAGGAACAGGCAAGCATCTTCTTTTGAAGATTTCCTGGTGTTGGGATCCAAGACATCCACCTGGACTGGGATTGGTTCACAGAGGGATGCCTTTACAAAATTTTGACATTAAGTCCCTGTGGGCATTCCCTTTCTGCTGCCCAAAGTTTCCCCAGCTTGCTAATTTGACAATGTCAGCTGAATTAGAAGGCTGCGTAGCAAGATGGCCAATCTCTGCCACTTGTGTGGCAGAAAGCCGACCCAAAGACCATAGTTCAAGCAATCTGGTGCATAAGGGGCTGGGTGATGATGAAGATGTTGATGATGGACAACTCTGCTCCTCACCACTTGCTAGAGCCATCTCTGCCTTCCAACCCCTCAGTCTTTTTGGTGGCCTCTCCATGGTGCATACACCTTTTAGCAAGGCAAGGCACCTTTTAGCAGGGCTTCAAAAGCTTGGGCCAAACACAAGCAAACAAGTTGTGTCATTACCCTGAACACAAACAACAAACAGCAACCACATTCCCTTGGTTTTTGGTGGTTCCCAACTGCTTTCCCTCACAGCCCCCCCCCAGCACAGCAATTGTTTTCACCATTCTTTGTTGCTATAGTGCTGTGTGTCCAAAGCCTGGTCACCCTTTTAACAAGGAGATCCCATGCCCACACTATCTACAAGGCTTTTCCTTTTAGCAAGGAAGAGCCTGTTGCTGGAACAAAAAGTGCTTACAAATTTCCTTTTAACAAGGGAATATTGTAGCTGCATCACCTCTTAGAGGCCTTGCTGGAAGCCTTGTTTGCCAGCTGGTTGAGTTCCTTGGCTTCTTCCTTGAGCTCTTTTGTTTTGTTCATGACACCGGCCAAGGCTTGCTTTGCCTTGCTGAGGGTCATAGCTTTTTCCTTCTTTGCCAGGAGTATTTTCACCACATTGACTTTCTTCATCAAGCCCTCCAGCATGCTCTCAGTGTCACCCTTTGCTTGTTTGGTCAACCTTTTAGCAAGGTCAGCCTTCTTGAGTGCAGCCTCAACATCATCCCTGACCACAGCTGCCTGATCTCTGGCTCTCTTGGCTTTGGAAAGGAGCTCCTTCCACTGTTGCTCTTCACTTTTTCTTCCACTTCACCATCTTCAATGGCCAATGGGCCAGCTCCCTTTCCTTTGCCTTTCTTACCCTTGCTTTTTCCTTTTACCAAGCTTGCCTTTGCCCATGTTTTCCATAAGGCTATGCAAGTCCATTCCACTGAGGGCATCAAAGTGGGCTTGGTCATCATTGTCTGGTTGGTATTCTTGGCCCTGCGCCCATTGCTTGTTGCTTCTCATGGAAGTAGTTTTGCTGATATCACCTCTGTCATAGTAGTTGTAGATACCAGCTGTCCAAGGGCCCTCCCTCCATTGGATGCGGCCACTGTCCAAATGCCTGTAGAACTCTTCTTCACCAAACTTCTCCATCATCTTTTTCTCTGA